ATTTTAACTTTTTAAAATTCTAAGGGTTCAATTTGAAATTAAATTATACATGAAGAGTAACTTTACAAATTTCAAAACTTGAGGGCAAGTTTTGAAACTATTCAAGACTTTTCATTTCATAACTTATGAGTTTAATGTACATTAAAATGAAGACTCTTCATTTTTATGTAACTCCTTATATTTTAATAACAGTTTTAAGGAAGTGACTTTTCAACATCCATAACTTGAGGACAAGTTATGGAGTCATAAAATAATTTAATGGAAAAAAAAACTCTTTGTTTTTGTGTAACCTATGACACTTTTATTAGTTTTAAGATTCATAATTGTGACCTTCTATGTGATTTAAAAAAACGGTTACAAAAACATCTTTTATGAACTTCTTTTATATTAATATGGATTGAAAGCAGCTAACAAATAATATTTTTCATCAATCTAAATTAACTCATAAAAAAAGGTAACACAAAAAAACTTTTCATGTTCCATAACTTAAGAACAAGTTATGGAATTCTTGAAAACATTAAGACCAAGTTTTGTAACTCCATAAAAAACTTTAAATCAATTTTTTTTAAACATTTTCATATCCATAACTTATGGAGGTTTCAAAAAACTCTCTCGATCAAACTTTTAAAACTAATAAAATAATCATATCATTTTATCTTTTACTAAATTTGACCTAATTCAACTCATATAGCAAATGATTCAAATTTTACAAATAATTAGTTTTTCACAAAAACAAGTAATTATCTTAAAATTTGACAAACATCATGTTTTTTTTCCAACTTTGAAAATAAAACATTTGCATCAATATAACGGAAAACAACTTGGGCTCTGATACCAATGTTAGGTTTTGAGCATTCTAACACTCCTGAGTGTACATGCAACCCTAAATACCTTGGATCTACGTTTTCTCTATTATACATGCAAATATGAATATTCCAAGGTATTGTTCTAACTAGCATAATATAAAGTACAAGTAATATAAAAAAAACTAGTAGAGTTACATACCTCTTTGTTGGTGCTTGATTCTATGGAGCTCAAGAGCCTAGTGCCCCAAGTGTGACACCTCAAATGGTTCATACAATATCATGAACACTTGGAATAACTTGAGAGAAAGTAGAACACTTCTAAAATCGGTTTGCCCTCACTTGTTTCACTTAGTGGCCAGTTTTGTCAATAATATGATGCTTATATAGTTGTTACAGTTAGGGTAAACCCTAATTGTCATGACTTTACATTTCCTTGGATCCATGGGTTCAATTACACCATGGAGTATCCTATAGGTTTTAGCCCAACTTGATAATCCATGGAGTCTTAGCCCATTATACAAGTATGGATAATTTACACAATCAACCCATATATTTAATTAGTCTTCTTTTGATCACTTAATTAATTCTAGATCGATACCAATTTAATAATCTTATTAATATATTAGAACTTATAATATATTAATAAATCTTAAGTGTTATCTCTCTCATTTTAGTCTATCCAAATGCATGATGACATGCAACCCAAATGGACTATGCCGGGTCGAGTCAAGTCTTACCAATTATAGTTGTGGACTTAGACATTAATCCAACATTATTTATATTCAATAGTATTGAGACCATAGTTAATTAGGTTATTATTATGTTTCACTTTGCTTGTTTTACTTCTTGACTAATTTGATTATTCGAACTTCCACAGTCGCTCGTAATTTTGGAAGTATGTAGCGAATTAAGGTTGTCATGAATTGAATTGTAGATTGTCTATAGAGATTAGACATAGCAATTGTTTGCTGCAATGTTCATGAGTACTTGGAAAATGGGAGCTGGAAGTATGGTATTTGTTAGAAGGACCATGGTGACATGTTTTGGACGGGGATGATTCTTGGTCAAATTGATGGTCATATAGGAATACGGAAATGTTTCCATATTAAGAGTTGATTATTAAAAATCTACATGTAAGTTGGAAACTTTAATGCAAGGAAGGTTTTCAAGGAGTGTGTCTTGAATCTAAGACTTCTTACCATGAATTGTTTTTTAGTAACAAAGTTCCAATAGTACATTCTGTAATATCGTTGGCTAAGTATCTGTGACTTTGAAGCTTCAGCATCACATAATGACAATTCATATAAGGTTAGAATTCTAACACATTTAGTAGTGACAATAATATGGAATTGTGAAATGAGCATCATTGGAATAGTTTCCAGTCGACCTATTCACAAAGGAAGGGCCATAGAGAAACATAATATGCATGTTCATAATATGGCATGACTGAAGTTTAATTCAAGTGTTTAGTTGATTACTCAAAACATTATACAATGAATAAAGTCTAATTAATATGGTGATTATATAATAGGATTTTTATTTATATTCAATAGCTTTGAGACTGTAGATAATTAGGTTAGTATTGTGTTTCACTTTGCATGTTTTACTTCTCGAATAATTGGATTAGTCAAAACTCCACATTCGATCGTAATTTTGGAAGTAAGTAGCGAATTAAGACTGTCGTGAACTAGATTGTAGATTATCTATGGAGATTAGACAGATCAATAGTTTTGCTGCAATGTTCATGAGTACTTGGAAATGGGGATATCAAGTATTGGATAAACCCATGCTCGGAGAATTACTTCATGGATTTTATCATGAGTAATTTTGAGATGATAACATCTTGTATTCTTGAAGCAAAGATATATGATTTTTTGTTTACGAGTCAGTTTTGCATTAATAATTTGTAAACGTATCGGTAACTAGATGTTATAAAACGTATTGTTGTGCGTGATTTGATGAGTGAATAGTAAAAGCATATAGGTCGAAGTTTATTCGTTCCTTTTTCTCTAACATGAAAGCGATATATGTGGGCTCCTCGATGATTTGATGATGGCATCTAAAGTGCTTAGCCAAGCCTGGACTGAATCGACGTGTTCAATTGGAAGTCTGATTTCAGTCGTCATAAATCAGAAATCGGGAAACAAAACTTGGACAATGAGATTGATTATAATCCACGCCTCATGTCCGTACGATATTTTCTAGAACGGAGGAATATTTTATCACTTATCTTAGGACACATAGCTGACTAGGTCAGAGTTGGACAACGACTTTTGAGAGCTACAATTTGCTAATCAGTTTTAGAAGTTATACTGGCAACTATAGTTATCAGACTTATTCAAGTGGAAGACTGTTGGATTAGGTGTCTAAGCCCATAACTATAATTGATATATACTTGAATTGATAGTAGTACAATCCTTTTAGGTTTCCCTCAAAACTAGCAACTAGATAGGATGACTTTTAGAGAAAGAGGTTGAATTTATTATTTGATTAATAAATTGAAATAAATAATTTGTTGATATATTGTGAGAATAATATATTAATAAGAAAAGTGCGGGGGCTATTGTGCAATTGTTCAATAGTTGAGCAAGAGGTTCCAGAACCTTCCTAGGGAAGGAGGTGGACGGTTTTATGAGATAGTTCTAGAGTTCCTAGAATATCTCATATTGATAATTAAGGAGGTGGATAATTACCAAATTTGAAATGATATTATTATTATATTCAGATTAGAGTTATCTAGAGCATCCTTGGTGCACTATATAAATGACTTTCCACCCTATGATTTTCAGCCATTCCATTCCCTCAAGAGATAGCCAAAAACTTCATCTCCCTTCTCCTCTCCCCTATCTCATCTTCTTGCTAGTGTTGGGTGTGAACTATTAGAGGCAAGATATTTATGGTGCTTGCTCTCTAGGCTTCAAACAATACAAGGGTTTCTTGTTATTCATCAATAACAGTCAAATGTATGTTTTCTAACCCTAGATGCTAATTTTAAAAATAGTATAGGATTCCTAGGGTTTCTCAATTGATGTTCAAATGTTGTATGTTCAATTAAAGAAAATATAGATAAAAAATTAGGTTGCATTTACACATAGTTTCTTGTACAACGACTTCCTTTCAAGGTATAATAAATTATGGGTGAGATAAGTCGAAAACAAGCAGATTTGCCGAATTATTTGGAAATAAACATAGAATTATTCTTAAAACAATTTTAGTTTAAAATTTATTATTATTTTATTGATGATTACTTGTACTATTGGTTTAACGGTTTGGATGCCTTAAAAAATATTATTATTATATTGAATTTATATTTAGAAATAATAAAATTTCTTTTATAATATAATATAGATTAAAGGGTTACTTTTGAAAATCAAAAATCATTTATTAGAATAACTTTTTGTAAAAGAAGTTCTTTAAAATGTATTTAGATTAACAAAAAAAATCAACAAAATGACTTTTTGTTTAACTTTTACATGTAAAACAACATAGTCATAAAAAAAAATCAAGTTTTTATGATTTTTAGAAACCTCTCCTTTCTTTTATTCTATGAAAAATCATTTTCAAAATACCTAAGCACCTTTTGGCTTTTTGTTGACTTGTAAAAAATAGTTAAAAATCAAAAGTCAAAAACAATCCCAATTACCTTAAGAAGTCAAGGTCGATAACTCTACACCAATGTTTTAAAAACCGGTTTTTTAGTTAAACCGGTATACAGGTGTGGTGACCGGTTCCCGGTTCAACCGGTTCGACTGCCGGGTGAACCGGTTTCTATATTTTTCATGTTTTTTCTATTTTCCTATACATACATTCATATATAAATTATGAATTTGATTTTACAAGTTCAAACATTAGAAATACATATAAAAATAAGTTATAAATAAATCGAAATATATTAAAATAACACATAACCATAAGTTTTAGTGTTTTATATCAATACGTATACATCAAAAAGAAAATAAAGTATAATACCGAAACAACATATAGTTTTAGATGAATACAAACACATCAAAAAAATTTATAAAATTTACCATATGTTTCTATTTAGAGAAAACTAAATAGATTTGAAAACAATGACCAATGTTTGTTTTGTAAATGGTTATTTTTAATGTGGTTTTATTAAGTTTAACCGGTTAAAACCGGTTGAACTTAGTTTTTCTAAAAACCAATCCATTCAATCCAATTCAGAAATCTGTAATAATTGAACCGTCTCTCTCCTGATTCCGGATACAACAATCACGTTTTTAAAACATTGCTCTACACGACTACATGCTCCAAAAGTCCAAATGGTCAAAGAGAAAAGAGAAAGATACAAAATTTTGATTATATCCGGCGGGAAATTTCGAAACCTCACTAGGAACTCGGAAGCGGACTTTCTTCGAAATCCAGAGATAGAGAAAGAGGAAGAGAGATCGAAGATGGATGGCAGTGAGAGCGAGACAATATTTGATTCATTGAACCTCAACCCGCAGCTTTTCATCAACGCCGCCCTAAACATCGTCGACGAATTGATCCAAAGCGCCTTTGATCATCTTCACCAGTCAGTTTCTATCCTCATTTCCCGATACTTACGATTCACTATGTAAATGATTTACGGTTTTGTTACAGGGAGGCGTCAACTCAACTCAAGGTTGATGGTTCAGATAGGGCTGAAGATTTAACCAAGGTCCACCACTTTCTGTTCCTCAATTCCCTCTTATATTCGATTTTGTTTCAAAACGCCCCAACTGTTTGTTCCTGCCAATGAATTTGATTTCCTATCTGTAATTCTGCATTGTTCAATTGTACTTGGACTCCGTTGTGCCCTAGATCGCGGATCATTCGTCTAACAACTTCTGTTTTTCCATTCTAAATGTCATTTAGGGTTTGGATTACATCCGAAAAGCAATTCGATCTTCCTTGGACAAGCGATTGACTATGTGGGAGAAGTACTGTTTTCTTCGCTTATTTGTGGTTCCAGAAGGATTTTCACTGCCCAAAGATGTACATCCCTTTACTTTTTCTTCTTATTTATCACTATTTTATGTGGTGTGATTCAACATATATATGAACTTCTAAATCTCCAATGTTTGTGTATATACAATCTGTAAGGACGAGGCATCTGTTGGTGATATAATGGATGTTGATGTTGTTGGACTTGGTATCCCTGATCTTGACTCCCAATTAGTTTCCATGAGAACTAAACTTACTTTGGTAATAAAATTCTGGTACTATACAATTAATCATTATTGGTTTATATTGTTCCTTGTTATGTTTGATAAATAATAAATTTTTTCTTTTGTAAAAAGGCTGAACAGGAGTCTGTTCAATTGAAGAGAGAGATTCAAGCATTGGAAAGACAATCTGCCATTAACAACCATCAAGTAACTGCCATAAGTGAATTGACAAAGCTATCTGAGCAAATTTCTGAAAATGATGCATTCCAAGGTCATTACTTCTGTTTATAACCTGCCATTTTTTTTTTTCTTGGAATGTTGTGATAATACAAATCCTTTAGTTTTCTGAGGAGGCCCATTCACCATTGTTTGTTGCAGAGCTGCAAAAACTTGCAGCAGAGTTACACACGAAAGTGGAGAAGTTAAAGACCGAAAGAGATGATGAAACTCAAAGTGCTAGGTTCCAGAAATTACATTTATGGAATGAAGATTTGTTAAAGATAATTGGTGGAAATGGTAATATACAATACATTGCAAGTTAATAATATGTATGCATAAGTAGTTATTATGTGTATAGTGAAATAGTTTTTTTTTAAATATATAATAATTCAGTTCTCTCCAATGCAAAGCCAGAAGAAGTTGAAGGATTTCTTGCAGGTTTCAACACTCGTTGAACTTCTGCAAACCTGTCAATGTCTTGTCAGAAAGAATTTGCTTTTTTGCTTCTGTGTGTATTAAATGGATCAAATTTAAAAACAAAAAAACATCAAGAAATGCATATGAATTTGATGCTTTTCACTTCTATGAAGACCATGATAACCCTAAAATACCCCTAATGGTTACTTAGGCAAAGAGCTAACTTGGATTGTAACTTTGATAGAACTATAAATTAATAAAAAAGGAAATCAACCATTACATTAAGTTACCCTCTTATTTTAACATTGTTCACCTTTTATTTCATAGTACAACACAAACACAAACACACATATGTCTAATTAGAGTAGACACCAATGAAATTAGTGAAACGAGACCCCACATACACTTTTCCATTTTGTTCTTGAACCAAACTAATCGTCTTGTTAGCAAACTCTTTATCAAATTCAACTGTTTGCACCACGACCCCATTTGAATTTATCCGCACCCCTTTCGGTGTAATAAGAGGTGCCGGTGGAATGAATCCAACTGAAACCGCCACCCAAAACTCTCCTGATCTTCCCGCGCGCTTTATTTTATTCGGATTCGCAATATTTAGCAAAAATTCCGCTGTATTTGCTTTGGGCCCCACAAGCCAATATTTTGAAATCCGACTGCCTGTAAGCTCAGGTACAAGAACAAATGTCCCATCGCTGCTGACGGCAGGTCCACCACCACCATTGAGACCGCTCAACAAAACCGACACCTGTCTGGTAAATGGGTTGTAACGCATGAACCTCCCGGTTGAATCAGGCTTAAATCCTGGTTGTGTAGTATCTCTGCACAATATATATGAAATATTTGTAAATTTGTAATATTGTATGTTATAACATGTGTAATGTGTATTAGATGAAGTCAAAGTTATTACCTGATAGTATAAGTCAAACTAACATCGCTAAAATAAATATTGCCAGTTAACAAGTCAACATCAATGCCACTAAGAAACTTGAACCCTCCAGCTAGTTGAGTTGCAAGCCCACCACCGGGGCCCACAACTAGAAGTCCAAAATATGCATCGGCTATGTATAGAAGGCCAGTTATGGGGTGAAAGCTAAGGGCAAGTGGTCGTCCGCATATCGGTCCCATATCAGAATTTGTTGTACCATCACATAGCTCTTTTGTCCTGAAAGCGTATTCCATTAAATTAATAATAATAATAATAATAATAATAATAATAATAATAATAATAATAATAATAAGTAGTTACCACTTGGAGGGAATAAATATAATTAATTATGCATAATAATTTGAAAAATAACCTTTGTGGTGATGTATATGCAAAATCCACAAAACCGATTTTAGATCCTTTCCATTTCATAATCCTACCATCGGTCACTGTTGTAAAGGGTCCGTTGACTAGAAGTCCACCAAATGCAGCTGATTCAGGACCAGTGACTTCTAAAGGCAATACTAACTTGTTAAATTTGGTGAATTGACCAGAAACAAAGGTTCCAAAAACATAAAGAAACATAATAAAAACAGAAAAAAGTATTTGTGGAGAAGCCATTTTTGGATATGTGAAGAGAAGAATGAAAGACTATTGTAGAATGCTTCTATTTATAGAAATGTTTACATATCGGCAGTGGGTGTAATAACGGCCGCCATGCTAGGTAGTTAACCATATGGTCATTAAAACCGTTTCCAATCTCGGAAAATCACAACAAATTATATTATAAACAGAGTCGAATGCACGTTAAAAGGTCACCACTGAAGGAGATTTGCAACCCTATTTTTTAATTAAAATAAATAAATTATAAAGTACGCTTTTGATCTGCTTGTTGGACATCTCTCAAAAGATTTGGGTGACACCGCAAACATTAATTGCAGATGCATGAACAGATAGTTAATTGGAATTTCCTAAAGTTATTAGATGAACTTGCTTTAATTAAAATAGTGCAACCAAAATGTTATCGACTCCGGGGATGTGGAATAAAAAGGCAGTATCTGTCCGATCTTTTGTATATTTTTTTATATATTGGCCGTAAGAAAAATAAAATAGAATTTTCTAATTATAATTAAACTTAGTTTTTTTCTTTTATCTTATTTCTTATTTCTTATGGAATGATCTTGCAGATCTTGGAAGAAAGAAGATGATAGATACACAATTAGACTTGATGAATGTTCTGTGAATATCGATGTTGTATGTATATTTTGAGAGGTTATTTGTAGATAATAAATTTTCTCTATGCACAACAATTTTTGTTTTAAAATGTTATATTGTATAATTCTATAAAGCAATGAAAAAAAAATGTTGTGTATGAATTACTTTTTCTTTATTAGGTCTTAGAGAGGTTAACATTGTGGATTTCATTTTGCTTTCTTGGTGAGGATTTGTTGAAGTTCCCAGGAGTAAACCAGATAGAAGATCTAAATTTATTGAAAACCCCAATAATTGGTGTGAGATCGTGGATATGGTGGCATGTGAGTTAGATCGTTTAGAAAGGAGAAGTTTGAACAACAAGAAAAATGTAAATTATCAAAATATCATATTTATCCAAAATTATTATTTTATGAATTAACATAAACGTACGTGTCTTTATCTATTAAGACCTTATTTAATATGTTTGTTATTAAAATGATTTAGATGTATATGTTTGTTATTAGAAAGATAAATACTAAAGATGACAAACCAGTGGCAGACATTAATGGAGCCCAGGGGTCCTAGGCCATTGCTCCGATCATGTTATTTTTGACACTATATGTCACACCCCAAAACCGGAATGACGGAAACGTTTGAGAGTGGAGGACGTCACGTACAGTATCACAACACAGAATAATAGTAAACAAGCAAACAACATCATCTATTGCATTAATAATATAATTTAATACAAGTGTGTTCTGTATAGTTTTATAAGACACCAAAAATTTAAATTAAAATATAAGATGAGTCTTGAATGTGCTCCATCTTCTCAAAAGCTGGTATCGGTACCTGTCTATTGATGACCTGAGAATATGTCACACCCCCAAACTAGAACGGCGGAATCGTTCGAGGGCGGTTGACTTCATGTAGTGTCGTAACAGTTGAATACATAGTAACGAAAGTAAAACAACCATCATATATATAATTGAAAAGTTACATTATTGAATGATACTTGTTTCAAAACAAATTACAATATGATGACAAAATGAGTTTTAAACTAACGCCTTAGCGTCACTTCTCCAAAAGCTGATGTTTACATGTATTACTGAATCCCTGAGAAATACAAGTAGTTTTGAAAGAGTATCAACAATTAAGTTGGTGAGTTCATAAGTATTTAATGTCAATGTTTGTATATGTTTGAAAACTCCTAGAAAATCCTATATTTCCTACTAGTATAAAACTAGTCTTCTACCAAGACCCGATTGTTTTGAATGTTTGCTTCTAGAAATCCAAAATTTTCCCATAAGTGTGTGGTAGTTTAAAAGCTCCAGAACTGTAATGCAATAGTGTTTTTCATGCCTAGAATAGTAGATTTATGTATCTATAAAATCACTAAGACATTTGATAACCCCGTAAATCAACATGTTTTTTGTGACACCGTAAAAATTCAACCAATTTTTCACATTTTCCAAACACATTCATTAATAAAATCTCATTGTATTGTATCATTGTTCACAAAACATTTCCCAAGATCAAATCATAATAAACTCTGTGGGTGTGTGTACAGATCATGTCGGCGCCTTCCCGCGATCATCACTGGTACCTGAAACACATAACACTGTAAGCATAAAGCTTAGTGACTTGCCCAAAATACCACACATAACACATACTAGCCACTCGAGGCTATAACTCTGTGGTCCCTTGGGCCCTAACTCGACCCTCTGGTCCTAGCTCTGTGAACCTTCCGGTTCTAACTCTGATATACACACGACAAAAATCACATAGAAATAATACAATGCAACACATCACATAAATAACATACAATAACTCTGTCACATAACTCTAATTACCACTCAAGGTAAAGTATAGTGAGAAGATTCACCTCAGATGTCTCGGTAAATCCCTAACTCGGTAGCAGTATAGTCTAGCCTCCGCCTAACCACATAAAGTAAAATATGCTCATAAATATAACTCTCTAGACTAGACCCAACCCTCTCTTAGCACCCTCAGATGGGTAAAAGACCATTTTACCCCTCTCTTGACTTAAAGACCCCATTGTTGACCAATCCCGAAAAGTTAACAAAGTCAACGGTCAAACTTTGACCTGACTCGTCGAGTGCACTTGGGCGACTCGGCGAGTCTACACGTGTCCACTATCTCTCTAGCCTCTCATGACACGTCGAGCCTTCCCCCTGCTCGACGGGTTACACCTGGCATGAATCGCGGGGCCACCCCGACTCAACTCGTCGAGTTTAATTATAAACTCGATGAGTTCCACCTGTAATCTGTCACAACTGGAAATTTTGTGTCATGTAATCCATACATTCAAGCTAATGTGAATCAAAAACTTCAATCAAATACATTATACAAGTACTACAAATAGTCATCAAACAATTGGAAAACCCTAGAAGTTCTTGTTAAGTCCATTTTGGACTAGAACTTCCTTATTGGATCCAAATGGACCAATAAGCCTCCAATAAGACTATCATGGACTTAGAACTCTAATTGGGCTCTAATTGGACCTACATTCATTTATTTCAATATTTTGGGCTAGGTAGAACCTAGAATGAAATAAATTAATGACTATGAACCATAATTAACCTAATTTGACCCTAACAAGTCATAAAAATCACATTTAAATTGATTTGGACTAACAACCATCCAACTTAACATCTACATGGGCTTAGGACATTAAAGCCCAAATTTTCCTCCTTCCATTCCAAAATCTCGGCCAAGGCCCAAAACAAGCCCAAGATGAAGAGTTGACTCCATCATGCCACCTCATTATCGCCCATAGGTTCTCCATGCAAAATCTCATTCATCCATGCAAGCATCACCTCAAGGTCTTTTCTTCTCTCTCTCCCTCTCCCTTCTTGTTTCGGCTGAGAATAACCAACACACACACACACACACCTCACAACTCTCTCTAAATTCTCTCAAGAAACTCTCTCCTTCCTCTCCAAAAATTTCGAGAATTCTAAGAGGATTTCAAGAGGATTTTGCAAGATTAACATCATCTTAGGTAAGTTTTTACTTAATTCTATGATCTAGCTTCCTTGATCTATCAAATACCTCTCCTTAATTCATGAGAAATCATGATCTTGCATCTTAGAAACACCTCAAGGCCGAGATCTTCATCAAGGGGTGCTAAGGCCGAAAATCACCAAACTTTCGTCTATTCTTTCTTCAAAAACCCAACCAACACCCAAGGTGAGTTTCATATCCCCTTATTTTCGGTTTTTATGAGTTTTTGTGGGGGAGAATACAAGAAAAAGTGTAGATCCATCATTATGTGTATGTTGTGGTTGATTTCTATGCTTACATGTATGTTTTGTATGATTTTATTGATAGATCTAGGGTGATATGCTAAAAACCGAAACATACATTTTATCATAGCATAAAATAGACTATCACATGCAAAGTATACTAAGAAAATGGCTACATAGCTTGACAACACTTAACTTGGACTAAAAACTCATTTTTTTGACATAAAATGTTAAAAATACAAAGTTAAAGGGCCTAAAGTGCAATATCTCGAAATCTGATGGGTGAGATGAGTCAAAACAGTTTACACAAAGTATTTTCTGAAAATATACTAATTAGAGGGTTAAAAACATAAATTCCAAGATTATTGGGCTAAGTATGACATTTTCGGCCCAATAAGGCCCAATATGCGAAATTTTCTAAATTGGAGGGCCAAAACTGCATTTTTCTGTAAAACAGTGGACTATAAGTGTTCCATGTGCTTTTCAAGGGTTTACAATGCTTTTCAAATTTAAAGGGGACCAAAATTGTAAAAATTTTCCAAATTGGGTCAAAAATGTAAAAGTTGAGAAAAACAAGGGCTATAACCGAGAAAACTGAAATTTCAAGGGTTTAAACTGTTTTCTATGATAAAAATGCTAGAAAATACTTATTTCAATAATTTTTGGTATAAAAATGTCAAGAAAATTTGTTTAAGGACCAAACCGGAAAGTTTTTAAATAAAGGGGTGAAAAGAGTAAATTCCATAATTAAGGAAGGGCTGAAAACAGAAAATCTTCAAGGCTAGTTAATACATTCAATTTGATCAATTAATGGTACCACGCTTGCCGACGAAATACTATATACTACAATACCAAAAGTCGTTGTTAAACGAATTGGTTCGGTCTCGAACCAATAAAAATCCAAAATCACTAACACGACGAAGTTACGACATTTCGATTCATAACTAATAACGATGGGGAATTCACGATAACTACGAGTGTGCGCAGACGTCTATGCACCATCTTTGGGCCCAAAAGTGTAAAATCTTGTTCGTTGAGCCTAGCTAGCCCAATGACCTGATCTTAAGGCCCGAAGGTCTCTCTCTCACTTACGAAGTGTTGGGTTTTACCGATCCGACATGACGTAACAGGACTTTCAATGGCATACATACTGCTGGACCCCAAGGGTTTTTCA